CACGGGCTAGGCAAATACCCCTCCACTGGCTATGCCTCCAAGATAAGGCAGCAACATTTAAGCCTAAAAATTCCTTAAGGAATGTCCACTGTCTGTAATTATAAACAACTTACAAAAAACCTTCTATTCCTCAACCCTATAAAAATATCATATAAGATATTAATTTTGGGGGGCAGAGAGATGGCTCAGCGGTTAAGAGCATTGACTGTTCTTCCAGAGATCCTGAGTTCAATTCCTGGCAACCACATGGTGGCTTACAACCACCTTGAATGAGACCTGGTGCCCTCTGCTGGCATGTAGGCAGAAGATTGTATATATAATAAATAAAATAAAAAATACTAATTTTGGGCTGGAGAGATGGCTCAGAGGTTAAGAGCCCTGGCTTCACTGCCGAAGTTCTTGTGTTTAATTCCCAGCCAACCATATGGTGGCTCACAGCCATCTGTAATGAGAAATGGTGCCTTCTTCTGGAGTGCAGGCATGCATGCATGTAAGCGGAACACTGTACGCATAATAAATCAACCTTTAAAAAACATATATAATTTTTAGCTGGGCATTGGTGGCACACGCCTTTAATCCCAGCACTCGGGAGGCAGAGGCAGGCGGATCTCTGTCAGTTCGAGGCCAGCCTGGACTACAGCATGAGATCCAGGACAGGCTCCAAGACAATACAGAGAAACCCTGTCTCGAAAATCAAACTTTTAAAAAGGCATCTGCATCAACAAGCATGGACAAAGATTCTCAGTAAAATAATTACCAAATGGCCTCAAGCATCATTTGTCGGTAGGTGTGTTTCTGTATTTTCACTTTGAATTCATACATTTCTAACTATAAAGACACTATTCCTTGTTTTACTCATAAGCATCAACTACTGATCTATGAAGACTTGGCCTTTATAGTTTAAGTATTAAGTACAGACTAGACAACTTCTGAAAGCACAGCTGATACACTTAGCAGTTGTTAATAAGCACAGTATTACAACAGTAATGCTTATACATCAATAGTCTCAGTCAAAATGTTAAATCGTGTTACCTTTTATAAACCTTATCTACAAACCTTAAGATACTTTATTCAATAAACAGCTTAATTATTCAATAAACAAAGCACCAAACATAAGAGTATAATAGGGAAGTTACCAGGCTGAGCTCAAGAAGTGTCAAGAGGTCTGTACAGCTTAGGGAAAAAAGAGGAAAAAGCAGGGTCAACTAATAATTCCAACTTAAAACAACGTTTGTGCTCCCTCCCCAACAGTTTGTAATTCCAGTTTCACGGAACTCTGCTGCCCTCTTCTGGCCGCCAAGGCAATAGGCACACAAGTGGTGCATAGATAAATATGCAGGTAAAATAACCATATACATATAGTTTTTAATTTGTAAGAAAACTATGCTGGAAGATTCCCTAATGAACCCTTTTCTTTAATTGGACTGTTTTCCAGAAATCTTTGAATACTTTATTGATATCTCTTTGGTTTAGAATTTTTGGTTTATCCAGGAGCAGAGGTTTAGACAGGTCTCTATAACCCAGGCAGCCAGAAACTCAATTATGTAAACTAGACTAGCCAGGCACTCACAGCAATCTTTGCACATCATCCTAATATTAGACAATAAAACATTCAGTTGGCCTATTTTTGACTATTTTAATTTTTCAATTACATGTGTCTATTCTTTGTGTATGTGCCCATTCACATACATGCACACATGTACATACACAGACAGTCAGCTCTCTCTATCCACCATGTGGGCCCTGAAAGCCCAACTCAGGTCATGAAGATGGGCAGCAAATAACTTTACCACTGAGCTCCTATTTTATTTTTTAAATCATCCTTATAGATGGAAATGGGGAACTGGGGGGGGGTGGGTGTAAAGGCAGAAGGATATTAGTAGTACATTTAAGAGCAGTCTTCTCTAAATAGTTGACACTGCCTCAAAACAAAACAGAAATAAAAAAATCTATAGGCATATTATTTTGCCTAATTATTATTATTAGTGTTATGTAAATACATATTTTCTTAAACAGAAGCCACCTGTTTTCTATAATATTTGATATTTTTTATTGTTTTTTGAGGTGTACGTAGCGTGGAAGTCCTAGAACCCACTATGTATAAGTAGAGCAGGCTAGCCTCTAACTTGCAGAGGTCTAGCTGCGCTGCCTTGCATGTGCTGACTGAGATTAAAGGTGTGCACCAGCACATCCTGCCATCTTGTTTTTTACATTACCTTATTTACTATGTGTACAAGGGCATGCATGTCCCCCAGAGCACCCACATGGAGGACAGAGAATAGCCTGCAGAAATGCACCCCTCCTTAGTCATGTGTGGCCCAGGATCAAACTGAGGCTATCAGTCTGGCAGCCAGGACCTTTACTGGGAGAGCCTTTTCGCCAACCCTGACTTATAGCTTGTGACCCTCTACCTTAGCCTGCCAGTGCTGAGTTTAGAGGCATGGATCACCATGTCCTCCTCAAATTACAAACAATAATTTTATAATTCATGTGGGATATACAACAGAAATTACCACTTGTTGATAGCAATTGCATATAATTTCTAATTCTTTACAATAATTCTGCAAAGAATTAATATTCTTTTGTTATTTTAAAACCAGTTGGCCTCTCCAAGACACTGGAGGAATCCTAACTACTTTAGTCAACCTGTAAAACTAAGAACAAACTCAGACCCTATTACACCATAATATGATATGTTAAATACAAACACATCCAGTTGAGGCTATAGCTCATTACCTAATATATGCAAGCTTCTGAGTTTGATGCCTACCACTGAAAAGGGGGGGAAAACTAATAGATCACATTTACTTATGTCAAAAGTATGTAATTAATTCTAATCATAAGGAAGTATCACATAAAGCCAAATTAGAAGACAATGCAGAATGTAACTATCCTATACTCTTTAATATGTCAACAAGAAACAGAAGAACAAGCCTATCCTACTAATAGCAGACCTGAAACTCCAGCTATTCAGGGGAGGGGAGGGGAAAAAAAGGAGGGAGAAAAAGAGAGATGGGGAGGCAGCCAGTCAGACATGGAAGAAACATGAAAAGACGTACAGAATAAGAGAAAGTTAAAAGGCCTCAAGGTAAAATGTAGATACAGAGAAGTCGGTTAATTTAAGTTATAAGAGCCAGTGGAAAGCCGGGCGTTGGTGGCGCACGCCTTTAATCCCAGCACTCGGGTGGCAGAGGCAGGCGGATCTCTGTGAGTTCGAGGCCAGCCTGGTCTACAAGAGCTAGTTCCAGGACAGCCTCCAAAGCCACCGAGAAACCCTGTCTCGAAAAACCAGAAAAAAAAAAAAAAAAAAAAGAGCCAGTGGAGCCAGGCGGTGGTGGCACACACCTTTAATCCCAGCACTCGGGAAGCAGAGGCTGACAGATCTCTGTGAGTTCCAGGCCAGCCTGGTCTACAGCCTCCAAAGCCACAGAGAAACCATGTCTCGAACCCCCCCAAAAAGAGCCAATGGAATAAGTACAGGGCCGAGCATTCATAACTAATAACAAGTCTTTGTGTCATGATTTGGGAGCTGGCTGGTGGCAACAGAGAAAGCCTGTTTTTGTTTTTAATGATGCCATTTCTTTTTAAAGACTAGCTTTTTTATTATCATCATCATCAAGCCTTCATTTATGGTTATTCTAACCTATATTTCTTCATTAATACAAGACAATTAAACTTAAAAAGATAACCTATCCGTAACAGTTCTGTAGCAACAGGGTTTCCTACATTGTTCTGTTTTGGCTAGCCTGAACTTGTATGCAGACCAGGCTGGCTCAAACTCAGATCGGCCTGCCTCCACCTTGCTGAGACTAAAGGACTGTGTTACTACACTCAGCATGGCAGTCTTTCTTTGTGAGGAATACTAATCAGAGTAAAAAGAACTTAGGGGTTAGCACTAACATAGCAGATATTTATCTGTTAATAGCATCCAAACAGAAAGCTAATTTTAAATAAGGGGACATAACAAAACCCTGTGTCCCAACCCCAATACCAGAAATAAAACAAAGTATCATCAAAGTGAGCCACAGTCATCCAAGTCCGAGATACCCCAGCACCTGGGAAGCTGAAGCAGAGGAACAAAGAATTCAGGGCCTGATTGGCTGACCTAGAAAGACCCAATCTCAAAAAGAAATCAAAAAGAGCAACAAAAATACATCAAGCCACGGATCTGAAATTAGAGTGGACCAGATAAAGTTCATTTTCCTCTAAGAGAATGCTTCTGAGGAGATGGCTCAGTAGCTAAAGGCTGTCATGGCCACCCGACACCTGAGCTCCATCCCTGAACTCACATGGGAGAAGAGAGAACTAGCTCTCTCCAGCTGTCCTTTGACCTCAAAAAGCTAGCGATATATGTGCGTGTGCACACACAAGCTTGCACACACCGTTAGTAATGAAAGGGTAATAAATGCTGGGCGGTGGTGGCGCACGCCTTTAATCCCAGCACTTGGGAGGCAGAGGCAGGCGGATCTCTGTGAGTTCGAGGCTGGGCTGGACCGACAGCCTCTAAAACAATTCAGAGAAACCGTGTCTCGTAATAGAAAGAAAGAAAGACAGGGTAATGAAGCATACGGGGGGAGACACTGCTTCTGTTAAGAAGCGCGCCAACTGGATCAGTATAGTACAGACACGCTCAGGGCTGCGCTTGAGTTGTCTCACTTCATGTGAAAGAACAAGAGGAACTAACTGGGCGTGTGGTTCAGTAGTAGGGTGCTGGTGTAGAACACAAGGGGCTCTGGGTTTAATTCCTGGCGTTATGAACTAGACCATAAGACAGAGAAGGAAACTGCTGAAGCAGAGGGTAACCACTGAAATTCAGGACTAAACAACGGCTCTCCGGGAACAACATTCGATTGCCCCATCACCCCATCACCCATCCTACACTACTCACCCAGTCTGTAAACACAATGCTAAATCCCAGTTTCCTAGGAAGGGGACTATTAAAACATCCCTCCTCCCTCACCCTTTTCTTCTAACCAAGACAGAAGCTCCATGAGACTTACCTGCACCACTTGTTTCTGTGGCTGTGCTACATGTGTTGTTGGCATCTGTGGTTTTTCCCGAGCACCTCGGCAACGATCGTTGCTCACCGAAGTCATCATATACAGAATATACAAAATAATGTATGTACAAAATACAAAATCTGCAAGAAAGAAGGCATTGTAAGCAAAACTTCCAAATCATGGCAAAAAAAAAAAATCTAATGGGGGTGACACAAAAATAAAACATATTCAGAATATTTTTTTCAAAAATAGTAAGTATTGTAATGCACACCTTTAATTCCAGCACATGGAAGACTGAGGCTGGCAGATCTAAGTTGAGGCCAGCCTGATCTACACATAACATAATGGCTATAGAGAGATTCTGTCTCAAAGAAAGAAGTGGGTAGAGGGAAAGAAGGGAGAGGGAGAGAAAGGAAAATAAAAAGAGAGACTAGAGAGATGGCTCAGAGGTTAAAAGCACTGACTGCTCTTCCAGAGGTCCTGAGTTCAATTCCCAGCAACTACATTGTGACTCACAGGCATCTATAGTGGGATCTGATGCCCTCTTCTGACATAAAGTTGTACATGCAGATACACTCATAAATTTAATTGAAAAAAAGAAAAAGAAATATCTAAAGCAGTATGCAAGTACGCATTATTATTTCCCTAGCAGTTTTCCCTCTCCCTTATTCCCATGTTCCTGTAATCTTCTCTTTGATGTGGGGTTCCAGTATGCTGCCCAGACTGACCACAAAACCAACTGCTTTGCTTTAGCCCTGGTATATGATCGAACTCTCCTTGTTTTCCTTTGGCTTCTTCAGGACTTGTCTTCATAATCCTAAGTGTTTGTGAGACCAGAGGGCTGGGGTGCAGCTTAGTTGGTAGACTACTGCTCATCTAGCTGAGGATTCAATCCTCAGCTCCCTAGAAAACTAAATATAGTGGCATACATATGAACTCTGGGCCTGGAGAGGTAAAGACATCAGAAATTCAAGGTCATCCTCAGTTACACTGAGAGAACCAGGCCAGTCTAGGAAAAATGAGACCCTGAGAGACTGGCTAGAGCAATTATTCTTCCAGAAGACAACATCCTGAGTGCTGCTTACCAGGCATTGAAAGCTCAGAGGCTACTAGGAACAGTGTCCCTATATCTTATCTTAATTTACATGGTTCAGGCCATAGAAACATCACTGCACCAACCAAATACTTCCAGGTATCCTTTAGATCTGAGTATCATAAATTACAAGAAACTGATGGTTTAAACGAGAGTGGTTCCCACAGAGTCATATGTTTGAATACCTGATCCCCAGTTAGTGGAACTTTGGGGAAGGGTTAGGAGGTGCAGTGCAGCCTTGTTAGAGAAGGTGTGTCACTGGGGATGGGCTTTGAAGGCCCAGTGTCTCTCTCTGCCTGGAACTCGTGGATCAGATGTGAGATCTCAGCTACTTCTCCAGCACCATGCCTGCTGCCTACCGCAATGCTCCCCACCATGGTGATAATAAACCATCCCCTGAAACTGTAGAGCAAAAAGTAACTTTCTAAGAGCTGCCTTGCTCATCCTCTTTTCACAGCAATAGAACAGACACTAACCAAAACTCATTCCACTACTTCAGACACTGCTAATAAGATGCCTTTCAAATGTGTTACACAGACACCCTGATATTTACTTTCAATGGCAGGTCCTGTACTAACTGGATATGTTACTGTACAGCTTTTTACATTATGACAGCAAATAACAAACTAACCAGAACTCTCAAATACCCTAATGGCCAGCTTAAACATTTTATCTTACTTCCAACTGCCTTTCAGTAGTATGAACCACACTCTACATCCTATCTTGTGCTTAACAGCTTTCAGATTGTAAACTTGGTTGTTTTCATTATACAGAGTAAGTTTGTTTTACCATAATTGTATTACTTTAAATTTTTATTTTACTACGTTTTTGTGTGTGCTCATGCCTACAGGTGTGTTAAACCCAATGTGTGGAGATCAGAGAACAACTTTTAAATGTCAGTGCTCCTTCTACAGTAGGATCCAGGAAACTCAGGTCTCAATTTGTGTAGCAAGTGTTTTTACCCACTGAGGCATGCTGTTCTCTGAGATTGAAGACCTCAGTAGGAAGGCAGGTAATCCCAGTACTTGGGAGGCAGAGGCAAGAAGATTTCTCAGAGCTACACAAAACCCGAGAGAGAAAGAGAGAGCAAAGAGAAAGAGATAGCCAGCCTGGGGACTGAAGCTAAGGCATATAGAATAAGCACTCTACTTCTGACCCTCTACTTTTTTTTGCTCTGTTTTTCAGTAGTTGTTTTTTGTTTTGTTTTGTTTGTAGACAGGATTTCTTTGTGTAGCCCTGGCTGTTCTGGAAATCCATCTGCCTCTACCTCCCGAGTGCTGGGATTAAAGGCCCCCAACTATCTCTTTTTTTGTTTTGTTTTGTTTTGTTTTGTTTTTCGAGACAGGGTTTCTCTGTGGCTTTGGAGGCTGTCCTGGAACTAGCTCTTGTAGACCAGGCTGGCCTCAAACTCACAGAGATCCGCCTGCCTCTGCCTCCCAAGTGCTGGGATTAAAGGCGTGCGCCACCAACGCCCGGCCCCCAACTATCTCTTATAACTCAAATTAACCTGCTTTTATTAATCTACACTCTGCCATGTGGCCTTTACCGTTCCTCAACATGATACAGACTTGATCCACGTCTCCCTCCTGCCTTGATTCATCCCTCTGACTTCCTCTGTGCAGAAGTCCTGCCTATTCTCTCTTGCCTAGCTGTTGGCCATTTAGCTTTTTATTAAACCAACCAGAAGGTGCCTTAGGTAGAGACACATCTCTACAGTGTAAATAAATATTTCATAACAATCTTGCTCTTTTTAGGAGGAATAGGGTCTCCTGTATTCCAGGCTGGTCTCAAACTTACTTTGTAGGTGAGGACGGCCTTAAATCTGAGGTTTTCTCTCTCCTGAATGTAGAGTAACAGGCATGCTTCAGTGTGCCCTGCTTTATGTAGTGCTGGAGCATCACTCGGGGCTTCATGCAATGCTGGCTGAGTATACTACCTGCTGTGCTACATATATATCCTCAGCCCCAATTTTTAAAAAATACTCTTTAGGAAAATAAAACATTTATTTTATGTGTGCCATATTGGAATGTCATAGGAAAGCTTTCAGGAGTCAGTTCTCGCCTTGCATTAAATGGGTCCTGGTGATTTAACTTGGGTTGTGAGGTATGGTAGCAACTACCTTTAATTACTGAGGCATTTTGCTGGCCCCCAAATTATTGCATTTTGAGTTCCAGGATAGGCTCCAACTACAGAGAAACTCGGAAAGAAAAAAAAAAAGGAAAAGAATGAACTAGTTGGGGACAAGTCTAAAAGTCTAAGCTAAAGGCAAAGCTTTCATAATTAAGATGTCTCTGTGTTGGCTAGCGGTGAAAAGACAGTCTGACAACAAAGCTAACTACATAAGATGGCTAAGTAAGAGTGATTGCTGAGAAAGCCTGACACCTAACTTCAATGAGGGTGGAAGAAGAGGGCCAATTCCCTATAACTGTCCTGGCCCACAGTAATAACATTTTAAATTAAAATTAGGGGCTGCTGCTGGTGCTGTCAGTGGCACAGGTCTTTAACTGTAACACTTGGGAAACAGAGACACGTGGATAGCTAACTTCAAAACCAGCCTAGTCTCCAAAATGAGGTCCAGGACAGCCAAGGCTACACAGAGAAACCCTGTCACAAAATAAATAAAATAAAAATTAGGGGCCAGCAAGATGGCTCAAAGGCACTTGCTGCCATGCCTGACAACCTGGGTTCAATCCCTGGAACCACAGGTAGAAGGAGAGAACCCACTCCCACAACCTGTTTTCTGCCCTCCAAGTTTGCAGCACGGCACGTGCCCAATAAGCATACAAATATTAACTGCACTATTTTTAAAAACTAATTCAGGGATGGAAGGACAGCTCAGAGATGAGGCGCTCAGACTGCTCCTGCAGAGGAACCAAGTTCAGTTCCAAACTACTTACAACTGCCTTAACTCCAGTTCTAGGAGATCCAACGCCTCTGGTCTCTAACGCACCTGTACTCCCACACACAAATCCACACATTAAATAAATAAATGAATGAATAAATAATCTTTTTTGAGTTAAGTCCTGCAGAGGCAGGTGGATCTGAGTTCAAGGTTGGCCTAGTCTACATAGTGAGTTCCAAGCCAAAAAGGACTATACAGTAAGACCCTATCACAAAAACAAAAGACCCCTTCATTTAATTTCAGGTCTGGTGGTGTTGGCGCACGCCTTTGATCCCAAGCACTCAGGAGGCAGAGACAGGCAGATTTCTATGAGTTCAAGGCCACCCTAGTCTACAGAGCTACTTCTATGACAGGCTTCAAAGCTACTAAGAAACCCGGTCTCAACAAAAAACAAACATTATCATCATCATCGTTTAAGGGCTGTAAAGATGGGACAGAAATTAAGAGCATTGGCTGGATCAACTTCTGGCTGGTGTGGGGTCTGCAGGGCTGGTGGGGCTGTGGGGACATTTATGGCCTGTGGAGATGGCTTGGGCAGCCGACCAGGACAGGGTTATTCGCATCTACCCAGCTTATCTGAGTAATAAAAACACCATAGCTGAGGGGGAGGCGGATTCCCATACGTAAGGCTGTAGAAAACCCTACTGCTACAGAGATTCAGGATGTCTGCTTGGCAGTTGGACTGAATGCATTTCTGGAGAAAAACAAAAATGTACTCCAGATAGTGGAAGCGTGACGTTCAGTACAGAGGCAGAGTTCGGGTACAGCTCAAACAGGAAGATGGCAGCCTGTCTTGCACAGTTCCCATTGGTGATGCTGTATGTAGCAGAAATGATACCCAAGCTAAAAACAAGGACACAAAAAACGGGAGGTGCTGACCCAATCTTCAGCAAGGAGAGGGGAGTAAAACAGGAAAGGGAAGAAGAAATGATGTGGCGTGAACATGAACACAGTCCTACTGTGAGAGACATGGAGTCTGTGTCTGAGGGAGCAGCTTTTTGTAAGTGTGTCTCCCATCTTCATCAACAGAGTTAACAATGAGATAAGTTTACATCAAAAGTTTGCATCTAGCTTTTTTATACTGTAAAAAGGAAATAATGACTGCCCCATAAGTTACTTGAAATCCTGTATCTCTTTCTCCTCTA